TATTTAGTTTGTCCTCCTGAGGTTGTCAGTCAACATTTACAGTATGGTCAAGCAACTCCTTTACTGACAGTTTATTACCAAATTCATTATAAATGAAATATTTGTACCCTGTTCATGGACACCACACAAGCCTCAGAGCAGTCAATGGTCCTTTTTGTCCTCAGACTCAAAAGTATTTCTGTGTCTGTTTAACAGGGAAACAATTTCAGATGGGTGTATATTGCCACACAAGGGCCTCTCCCAGGTACCAAGGATGATTTCTGGCCCATGGTGTGGGAACAAAAAGTGCACAGCCTTGTAATGGTGACCCAGTGTGTGGAGAGGGGCATGGTGAGTGTGAGGCTTCTGGTGCTGTTTTGCTGGTGATGTGCGCTGGTCTCATGTCATATTTTTGTGGATATTATGTGTATGATTCAGGTGAAGTGTGATCGATACTGGCCAACTGACAGTGAGCCTTTGTATTATGGTGATGTTGTTGTGCAACTGCAATCTGAGAAGATCCTCCAAGAGTGGACCATTCGGGACTTCAAGATATCATGTGTAAGTGTCAAATAAATAGATATATTGATAGGAAATACAAATATTTAATACTTAAAGGTTAACTTTAAAGGTATTTATTACTATAAGCTAAATTATTTATTTCTTAAAGGTATCTATTTTTAATGGTAAATTGTAAAAATATGTTGGGTCATATTTTACTCCATAATGACTGTTTGCTTCATTTTCATGCAAAATTTGTATTTTTTGTTCCTTTGCTTCTCTTTTTGGGGTAAAATATGACCTGGACATTTCTTTGCAAGATTCAGCAGTTTGGGAAACCTGTTTTGAAACGTATTTTTGCAACTTTGTAATTTAGTGGTACAGTGGAACTTGGACCACAAAACCAGTCATAAGGGTCAGATTTATACATCATCTGAAATAAGCTTTCCATTGATGTATGTTTTTTTTAGGGTAGGACAATATTTGGCTGAGATAAAAACTATTTGAATATCTGGAATCTGAGGGTGCAAAAAAATCTAAATATTGAGAAAATCACCTTTAAAGTTGTC